GGCTGTAATCCACCGGTTTCCTGTGAACGCCCTTCCTGTCGTTCAACTTGGATTGATTCTCCTCGTGGAAGTTCTGTTGCTTCGTCAAAGAGTCGTAAAGATTCTTCGTCAAAGTTTTCTCTTCCGCGAAGAACTTGTCTTATTTCTTCGATTTCACCCTCGAGCTGCTCTAGCCTTGGGCGATCTGTTGGTTCGTAGGCTCGTCCTAGCCTAAATTGAAGTCGAAGTTGAACCGCTTCTGTCGACTTTTTGTCGTAGAGGTCTGTTAATTCCTCTGTGGTGGCGTCTCTGAGCGTAAATGGTGGTACTTCTTCGTCAGAAGCCGCCGGTCGTGTTTCTGGGGTGGATTCCTCAGAGACTGGATCGTTTTCTCGGAAAGTAGTCGTTTTGAATCTTGTCTTGTCCTAAGATTCCTGGATTGCCTTCCCTGGGAAGGGCTTTAGCACGTCTTCAACGTGTGCCTCAGATGAGGGCTTCTCTTCTGGATTACCACACGGGTAATCGCTAGTGCTTGAGTTCGTTCCTGTAACAAAAACTCCGCACTCCTGCCTTTTGATCTTTGGTGGCCCTTAACCAATTGCGTACGTCTTTTGCCTGGTAACGTCAACCAGTTGGAATCCTAGTCTCTTTTCTGACCTCGGATATCCTGTGCTCGCTTTTTAAAGTGCCCAGCTAGTCACTTCGAACTCCTGCCTACTCCCGTTTGAGCGCTTGGTCGTTCTGGCTGTTGATTTCCTCTGCTTGGTGCCTATAACCAATCGTCCTTCCTATTCGCGTTTTCTCGATTGAAAACTGACCTCGGCAAGGTGTGGGTGCCTTTTTTCGGTGGCCCTTAACCGGCGTCTTCTGTATACCCAGCTCCTCCGGTGAGTGTGGGGCTCAAGTCGACACTGCCTTCAGCGGGTACCTTGCCGCAACAAGTACCCAGGTTCCGCTTCTCCGAGAATCTCCTGTCTGGCGAAGTACCGCCGCAACGGCTACTTCAGAGTGGTACTCCCTGTTTTTCCCTCCTCGGGCGAAGTACTGCCGCAACAGCTACTTCAGAGTTGTTCTCCCTGTTTTTCCAAGTGGTGCAGAGGCCGCAACGTGCACCGAGTTTCCCTAGAATTGGATACCCCTGTTTGAGGACTTGATGGAGTTGGTTTCTTCTGTAGCGTCCAAGTAGACCCCACTTCTCGTAAGTGGTTCTAAACCTGAATAGGTTGACCTATAGAAAAACCTCTTCCAAATGTTATGAAGCGTTCCCTGTTAGAACGTTCAGAACCACGTGTGCTTTCTCACACGTACTAGTCCACAGCGTGGACGGAGACTTAGGTACCAAGTATACCTAACGTCTCCAATAGTCAGGCAGACTATTAACAGGGTTTATAGTGTGGTCAAGCCTAGTAGACGAT